CTCTTTCTTTTGTGTGTACTTGGAGGTGTAATGATGGAGTGCCAGACAACAAAGTGCACCTGTGCATGTGCTAGGTGGAGGATGGTGGTGACTGAGGGAAGCTTTCATCCAGCAGTGGATTGCTCATGACAGATGATCATTTATGATGGCGATGATTTGTAAAGAAAAAAAATCTGTGCAATAAAAAAAGATAAACACAACACCCGGAGCACGAGTGAATCTTCCTGTTTTTGTTGCAAGCGCGTCGAGTACGCAATGTCCATTTATGAGGATAACACGCTGTCCAAAACCGAGCGAATTTCTGATGATAAAGCCGTTGAAGCGTGCAGTCTTGGCTGAACTTGACCTGAACCCTGACAACAACAAAAAAAACCACACACACAAAAAAAGGCCTGGGCCTCCATGAGTCTGAATAACACGACTCTACCATAATCGGGACTCTTATTTCCTGGGGGAGAGGACTAAAAAAAAGTAAGAACGCATCCTCATAAAACAGTGACACTTTTAGTGCTGCACATGCACAGCTGGTTGCCAAACAATGCACAGATAAATACAACACTTCCTTGTTTTTCCAACGTCTCTCTTCCTTTACCGCCGGCCGCGAAAGTCCACAATGCCCGGCGTGAAATAACTTGACTCGATTTAGACTTAAAGCTTTCGTAACTGCAGGAATTCATATTCTTGGTTCTTTCGGTAAAGTCACGTGGATGGAAAACTAAAATCTAAATTAAAAGCAAAAAAACCCACGACGTTTCGATCTTCTTCAGGTGGAGAGAAAAGAGGGGGCAAGCCTCCAAATGTAGCGGCTACATTTGGAGGCTTGTGTTGCGAAACGTCGTGGGTTTTTATTACATGCTGTTATTTAACTCACTGTTGTTGTTGTATCCTCAAATCTTGTAACTAAATTTTAACCCACTTCCCAATGTGGTATCGACTGAAAACTTGGTATACTTATGTCATACTGATGACAATACTATATTCTATCAAAAAAATAAAAGTATTTTTAAACATTCATTTTCATGTTATGTTTCGGCTTGGGTCTAATTGTCCACGCTCAACTAACGTTGGCTGTAAATCACCACGGTCCCTTACGTTATGGCAAGCTTCGGGGCCACTTCCTGGAGTCGTGGAGTTCTTCCATTACTTCTACGGTACATTTCATTAAAGCGTGTTTTCAAAGAAGCTTTTTTTAATATTACTTATTTTGCTTTTAATTGAGATTTTTGTTTTCCATCTACGTGACTTTACCGAAAGAACCAAGAATATATCTTGAATCGATTAGCAATCCTGTACTCGTCGCGCACTGCGTAATGCAACGGGGACGTTGATACAAATAGCACGTACACGTGCAATACATTAGAGTGTATAAGTAATTTATGCGTGCTTAGCGTGAAACCTTATTGCGTATACAGCGACGTTCATCGCCATAATTATCGTCAGGACAAGACGGATTAAGGTTTGAACGAACCTGCCGCCGTCTCTCAAGATGCCACGATTTGATCTCATCTCTGCACACAAACTGATCTCGGTCCATTTCTACAGCGAAGGTTCGTCCAGTTGTGTTCCATCCTTTGGCTGTCATTCGGTCGTTCGAGTGCGGCGGTGGCTAGGAGATGTTAACTCCCTCGCCCGGTATACAGGAGGTCACTGGTCGATCCCGACCCTGACGCTTGCTGTATATTTGGGGGTTTGCATGTCTCTCTTCATGTGGTCCTCTGGTTTTCCCCTCCACGTTTAGAATCAACATGCGCTTAGGCGATTTGTCTGCTATAGATTTCCACGTGATAAGCCACTTCGATCACCTATCATTTGTGGCCAGGTTGCTTCTGAAAAAGAGCCATATATTTCAGTGAGCTTTACCTGGTATAATAAAAATTGTTTTGTTTTTAGGCAATAGCCCTGTGGTATGATGGAGGGCCATTGCCTGAAACGTCAACTGTTGTATAGTTTTGGTTCTTTCGGTAAAGTCACGTAGATTTATTTTATTTTATACCTACGTGACTTTACCGAAATAACCAAAGAGTATGGATTCCTGCAGTCACGAAAGCTTCAAATCAAGATTATTGTATATTTTAAGGTCAAAGTGTTATTATTTATAAACGTGTTGAGTTGTATTGCTGTTATTCTTGTAAAGGCAGTCGGACAAAAGACATGCTTCGTCAAAGTTATAGCGGCACTAAGCACCGCTATACAGAAATCTACTACGGAAATAACAATATATTACACGTGTATACAACTTTACTCCATGCACTGTCGTAGAATAACTATGAATATTTCATACATTATCTCAAAGCTCAATCAATATATCGTAAATACACATGCTATGGACATCTTAGCAATGTATTCCATTGTATGCAGTGTATGTACATCACTCGGTAAAACATGTGGGATGACCGTTAGCTGTTCTTGCAACAAAAAAACCCCCCAAAAAACAGAATTGTGCTGACATGTCCACTCCGAACAGAGCTTTGTTCCAAATAACGCTCATGATTGACGGGGTCATTTCCCCCGAGAATAGGAACATAAGGAAGCATCCAACATGTCGCAGATTAATGAACGTACACATGCCGTGGTGGCATTGTTAGCCCGCGCGAACTGCATCGGTTTCATTGTCAAGTGAAAAACCTTGCAAGCTCCGTTTTCCCCTAGAGAACGCCAAGCACTTCCACAGGGTTTTTGTTTTTACCGTTTGCACTTGGGCACATTTATCTGGGCGGTTTATCCCCCCATCGCACCCCCCCAGAGCCGGCCCAGCCACTAAGCGACCCTTGCAATTGCAAAGAGCCCCGTGGCCAGCAGAGGGCCCCCTGCTAGTTAGTGGGTGAAAACAATCATACATCAAAGGGGCCTCCAACCAAATTTTGCTTAGGGCCCCCAAAGGTCTAGGGCCGGTTCTGCCCCCCCCCCCCACGACCACTGCCAATTGTATCCCAATTGCGCTATCGGTGTCACGCCACGAATCGAGGGCATCTCCCTTCGGATCACTCGTAGGAGCAGTGCTGCCCATCGTGTTGGAGAATGGCCCACGGCGATGGATATCATAGAGGTACCTCCGAGGTGGGGAACCTTTTTTCTGCCAAGGGCCATTTGGATATGTATAACATCAATCGCGGGCCATACAAAATTATCAACTTAAAAATTAGCCTGTTATATTGGTCAAACATTTAATTAACTCTCCCCCTAATGTGATGGACTGGAACTGCTTCTCTTTGGCGAGGCGTGTGATGTTAGCTGGTATTGATGATGATGTTGCTACTCGCAACTGCTTTTCCAGGTTTGCTCCTAGATTTAGTGAATTTCGAGTCCTGCCTGTGGTTGCCTTGGCAGGGCCACACCAAATGATTTCGCGGGCCTTGTACGGCCCGCAGGCCGGACATTCCCCACCTCTGCCGTAAAGTGACCTGTGGTCAACGCTTGCCACTGGGACGCGATGCATTGATGCTCCGTGTTTTTGCGCCACGTAACTTCGGAGCCGACACACAACTCAGGCAGCTGCATAGATTCAATCCCAGGACCTCAGCGTTGCCAGTTCAGCGTTTTGACCTATAAACTATTAAAACGATACGTAAAATGTATTACCAGGTAAGACCCACTGAGCTATATATCTCATTTTCAGAAGCGACCTGGCCACAAATGATAGCTCAACGAAGTGGTTTATCACGTGGAAATGTATAGCAGCCAAATACTCTAAACCCGTGTCGATTCTAAATGTGGATGGAAAAACCAGAGGACCCGGAGAAAAATCTATGCAACCACTGGGAGAGAGGCACGCAAACTCCAATTATACAGGCGTCATAGTCGGAATCGAACCAACAACCTCCTGTATACCAGGCGAGGTAGTTAACATCTCGCCACCGTGGCGGCCAAGGCAGGAAGGTATAATTCAATAATAGTATCTTCTTGGTTCTTTCGGTAAAGTCACGTAGAAGGGAAATAATAAAATAATAAAAATAAAACATAATTAAATAATTCTCACGACGTTTCGGCCACAACGCAAGCAGCCGTCCTCAGGTGAAGACCAGGTCTGCCGGGGAGACAGGCCGAAACGTCGTGAGAATTATTTATGTATTATTTTAATTATTAGATTATTATTTTATTATTTTATTATTTCCCTTCTACGTGGACTTTACCGAAAGAACCAAAAAGATGAATCCCTGCGGTCACGAAAGCTTTAAATCGAAAATCAATGAAAGTAATACGAACAACGATAATTTCAACTTGTAATGTGCCGGGCGGTATTCGCTCACTCTCAAGGAGAGAATGACTGGGAGGTGCGAGGTGGAACGACAAAGGGGAAGGAGGCAGCAGCCGCCAGCCACGCAGCGAGTCGCTTGCCAAGTCGCATCACCCCAGCGGAGGCCCGTTATCTTTATCTGGTCCCCATTGGCCCACCGTCTTGTCCTGCCGGCTCCGTCATTGCAACTCCGCCAGTGCCAGATGAAGCTAGTGTGGGGCCTGTAGCTTATGTTATAAAGGGGCCCTAAAAAAACACATAAATATTAAAACAGTAAATATTAAAAGCAAACAAAAAGAAGCAACTCTGATCATGATAATAACAGTGCATATTATTATCATTATTATCATTATCAGAGTTGCTTCTTTTTGTTTGCTTTTTTGACTACTTGTGTTGTGTTTATTGCAAACATGATGCCTTGAATAAAGGTGTCAGTTTTGTACCAGTTTAAAAGGGTAAAAACCTACTGACAACATATTATTTTGTTTATATTATTAGTGCTATTCTTATCAGTATTTATTTATTCTCTACGTGACTTTACCGAAAAAAACCTAAGAATATAGATGTTATTAAAAGTAGGAACGTTCGGCAATTTCCCAGAAGCGTCAGCACTTTGCGACGTTCAAGAGCGTCACGTCACCACATTGAAATAGCTCACGGGGAATTCTGTAGCTTGACCGGTGCCAAGAGGGCGTGTATCCACCCACCCACCCCTCTCCCTTCCCCATTTAAATGTGCTGGGGACCGGACTCTCCCTCTCAGATTTGTGTAGGCACATTTGCAAAAAAAAGCCTTCATCATTTCGTCCAAAGCTTTCTGGCAGAAGCGTCATCGGCATTCCCGTGCACAATGTTGTTCAGATTATTTCTAGTCGTACTTCTTGCCCGCGTTTGCCAAGGTAAGTCGAGCGTACGGTTAATGCACGTTAATGCTAAAACCGTTCATTGTTGAAGCGTTAACGTTGGGTATTTCCTTTTTTTGTGGTTTTTTTTACCGGGCCTGCACGTTTAAAACTGCGCGTGTTCGATTAGTTTGAAATCCTGTTGGTTCTTGAAGATGTTCCGATGCACTTAATTTCAAGGGGTATATACACCTTTCTAAGCGCAGTCTGAATTATTTACACTTGAGGAATGTTTTAAGCAGTGTTTTTTGTTGTTTAATTTTACCGAAGGAGTTGGATTTAGAACGATATACAGTATATGTAACCCAGTATAGTTAAACGAATGTAATCCAACAGTGAGTGGTTTTTTTCTATTTTACTGAAGGAATTGAATGTAGAGTGATATATATATGTAACCCAGTATATTCTTGGTTCTTTCGGTAAAGTCACGTAGAAGGGAAATAATAAAATAATAAAATATTAAACAAAATTCTCACGACGTTTCGACTGCAACACAAGCAATCGTCATCAGGTGTACACACAGGAAATTCGTGTGTTGAATAAGACACGAATATTTAATAACAGTTTTGGAGATCATAATTTAATGAGCCGCAATGTGTTATTTGATAGTATTCATAGATTATCTAAATACATTATGGTTGATCGATTATGCTTCTTAAATTTGCATGATTGTAAACACATACTGTAACTAAACAGCACAACCGTTTGATAATGACACAACATTACCCCTACAAGGTCAATCTAAATATGTATTTATACTGGAGGAATTCGATGAGCTATAAAGATATTTTTCACAGATGTCCAGTAGAGGCGGGTCAGAATGTTACAACAACAAACAATACAAAAACACGATAGGAGTGTAAAGTATAGGAAAAGTAACATAAACAACTTAAAAAACATACAAATATATTTTTTTTAATCTTACCAGGTAAGGCCCACTAAGTTATATAGCGTCTTTTCAGAAGCTACCTCGCCACAAATGATAGCTTAACGAAGTGGCTTATCATCGTGTGAAAATGTATAGCAGCCAAATACTCTAAACGCATGTTTCCAAATGTGGAGGAGAAAATCGGGAATACTCAGAGAAAAATCCACGAGACCGCAGGGAGAGCATACAAACTCCGCATACACAGCAGGCGTCAGGGTTGGGATCGAACCTCTGACATCCTGCATACCAAGCGAGAAAGATAACATCACACCACCGTGGCGCCTCTTAAGTAAATAAAGTATATAAGTTAAAATTGCATTAGGTGGCCACGGGATGTTGATTGTCATTTCCTCACAATGCTAAGTGCGTTTTTTTCTTTCTCCGGATTCTCTGGTTTCCGAACATCCCAAATGCAGGATGTTCCTAGAAAATATATATTCTTGAGAATCAGTGTGGCTATTTTTCTGGATATATAACTTTAATTATACTAATAGGAGCTAATTTGAGTGAAAATATGAAATAAATGAATTAAATCATGTTACATTTAAAGCGAAAACTAGTACCAACTAACAAAGAGGCGTACATCTGAAGGTATTGAAAAACAGCTCTGAGTTGTCTCAGGTCTGTTGAACATCACCAGAATCGACCCCACAGCGCCCACATCAAGGGAATTCATCACAGCACTGACACAGCCTGGGTTTAATTTATATTTATCTTTAGACATTTACCGTGCATGCAAACCAAGTGAGCACAGCAATAAAAAAAAATACGTTTATATTTTGAATGCGTTTATAGAAAAACGAAAATGTTGTGTAAAGTAAATCAATGGTCGGAATGCTCAAGAGCTATCATCCCTCCAGTTTAGTTTACATTTATTTAGCAGGAGTTGAGCAGTGCCTACCTTTCTTGGGGCCTTTCCTGGGGCAGGCATGGCGAAGTGTCTGGCAGTGCCTGCCCCTACTGAAGGCAAGATGGATAACGGACGTTTCCCAAAACTCCATCGCCTCTGCTGCACAATCCTGCTCTGATTACTGTAGCCAATTCTGCTTACTGCGTTATAGTAAAACTGCAGTGGCTTAGTGCAGAGTGTCGTGACGGAGACCTTGCATTTTGAGACTAACGCGAATAAAATTTATTTATCAGCCAAACCGTACAAATTGATATACGCAGCACCATGCATGGCCATTAACGAAAAATACGGAACCAAAACTGAAAAGTGAGCAAAGAAGCACGGAGAGTTGCGTGCTTGAAATAACATTTAGATACAATGGCTTTGGGGGTGGCCTGCTCTTGAAATCTCAACAATCTGGTTAAAACAAAATACAACTTGAGACCCATACAAATTGGAGTCCATGAGTTTTCTCACGAACATGCGAACATAGCCTGCGTACAAGCATGGATTTATTTAACCTTGTCAAGTCGATCATTGATTATCCGCCGGCTTCGGGGGGGAGGGGAGGGGGGCGCCGGATTTTTAAAAACGCCAGATAATCACGAACCATCATTATTTAAAATAGTTTATTTTTGCACATTCTTGAATGACATTCGGTTTTTTTTTTGTGTTTTAAATTTGCTGATCGCCTGGCTGCTTAACAGCCCTTGGAGCGGTTTTGTCGGTTTCGCCAGATTGGACCTGGACCGCCGGATAATGTTGCAAGCAGCCGGATAATCGCGTGGTGCTGGATAATCGATGATAAAACTGTAAGGCGATCACAGGTGAAGACGGTTTGACGCAGTTACGAAACAAAATTCTCCCGCAGGTTCGGAAAAATTGAAGGTGACGGTTTCTCCGCGCGATGCGCTCGAGGGCAAGCCGGTGAAGATCCAATGCGAGGTGCCCTCAAAGAGACTGGCCAGATTCCAGTGGCTCCAGCTGCCCCCGGCCACCGCCTCTCGCAGACAGGTGAGGTCAATTCTAGATTTGAAGCTTTCGTGGCTGCAAGAATTCATATTCTTAGGCTTTTTCGGTAAAGTCACGTCGGTAAAACATTAAAATTTATAAAAGTAAAATAAAAATAAAATAAAAATCACGACGTTTCGGAGGCAACATAAGCTTCCGTCTTCAGGTGGCACCGTCACAGCACGATAGCTGTTTCAAGTAAGAGGTGAGTACAAGAGGTGAGTACAAGGCCATCGTGCCCGCTGGCGTGCACCGTCCCGTCCGTGATCACGATCAGTGGTTGCCTCCAAGCTCTTCTCGTGACCAACGGAGGCATTTCGCGACGTGTGCGCCACGCCAAAAAAGGGGATCGCTTGCATCGATCTTCCGCACGTGCCTTGGGTACCCAACGTCGCAGTAGGCCAGCCCACTCGCCGGCTTTCGATTTCATCTCCCCGGCACGGCGGCTGCACCAAGGGTGTAAAGTTTCTTAAATGGGGCACGCCGCACTCGATGAGCAGGCCACAACATCTGCCCAATGTGGAGGAGTAGGCCAATATATCATCTGCGGCAGCTCTCGAGAGCTTCCTCTCCTCGTGAACGCCCTTCCATCAGCGGTGGCGTGAGCAAGTAATTGCAGGGCTGCACCTTCACCCTTGAGATAAGGCGTAAATGAATGGTCTACGTGAAACACCGTCATTGGCAGTATACCAAGAGCGCGAACTAATAATTGTTACAATGCTTGAGGCCAACATCAGAAGCGCTCGTCATTTATTTTTTTATCGCCTAATTGAAATAAACTGCCTCAAGTGAAATGGCCAAATAAGTGTGTCCGCTGCATGACGAGCGAAAGTGAAACGCAACATGAAGACGGTTAATCATTCCAGAACAATCGCATACCCCTGTCAACTCCAGAAGTGAAACTAAAAAGTAAGAAGTAGCCGGAGGGGAAAACGTTTGACCTCTCCAGCCTGTCCTTATTTAAACTCACCCTTAGCCATTTAATGCAGAAGTGGAGTTTAAAGTGTATTTGTTTAACCAGGTGAAAAACACAAGAGGTCATGGATAGCAAATACTGAACGGTAAATGTATGAAGCAAACCGAAAATCAGGAGGAACGGAAATGTGGCCCAAGCATAAATCAATATTAAAGGTTTTTAACATTTTCTTTCGTGTAAGTTGACTGGGTCAAACTACTTTAAAACCTATTCTTATTTCACTTTTTGTTCAACTTTCAATTTTGAGGACTTTATTCATGAGCTTTTCTGTGCAAAAAATCAGCACAACGTTATGCTGTGTGAGCGCAAAAGGTTGTTTTATTACCGTCAAATATTAATCAAGGGACATGTTTGCTGTGGTCATACAAATGCAGCGTTACAGTACAGTACTATAATTGTCATAGATGACTTGGTGATATTATAGTTACAGATGCCAAAGCATTATTATTCGCTTGTGTCACAGTTCTTCGTTGTATTGCAATTTCGAGAGTAGTCATCGCTATTGTTATAACCAGCTTTCTATTGAACTTAGATTGTGCCTATACTTGTGAGTGTAGTTTTAAATTTGCATACAGCGCTTTGAGATACTCAAATATGAAAGGCGCTTTATAAAATAGAGGTTATTATTATTGATGTTGCAACTGCACTGGGGCCCATGGGCTGTAGAGGATCCAGGCTCTGGCTTACGAATAAATGGGAAACCCATAGCGGTCAACCCATACGGTTTTCCCCGTATTCTTGTACAGAGAAATTGAGTTTTCAGGTCCATACGGCGTACAGCCGTTTCAATACAGGCAAACATGTTTTTGCCTATTTGTTTGTGTGTCTCCCTTGTGATGTAACTTTGTAGGATGAATGTTGAGATTTATAAGGGCACGGGGTGACCAATAAGGTCTGAATTGGTCTCTAATAAGGTAGGGGCACTGATAAGGGGTTGACAGGGATGGAAACCAGACAGGGAGTGATGCCCATTGCATTCCTTGTACCGGCGATTCATGCCAACCACACTGTGCCACTGCGCCTCGAAGGTTGGAATAGGCCCCATGCTTGCGAAAGTTGGGGCTCAAGATTTAACCCGAGTCAAATTAAAAGGTAATATTTTTTTAAGAAGCTTTGTACAACAATTAAACAAATACATATTTGAGAATGCAATAAAATACACCGGCTGGAGGAGGATTAGGAACCAAATAATGAAATAGTGGCAACCAATGGATCAGGATTAAGTGATGATATTTATATGCAGGATGTGAAGTTTAACTTCGTGGTGCTTGCCATAGTGGCTGAGGAATGGAAAAGGCCTTCATCCAATGATGATGGCTTGCAGGCACGTGGTAGCCCAGGATGTACACAGCACATGGTTACATCTGCGATGTCTCGTCACGTGGTCTGCCTCAGCAGCAGACCATGCTTTCTCACCTGATGATGGATGCTTGTGTTGCGCCCGAAACGTCGTGATTTATTTGATTTTCTACCTACGTGACTTTACCGAAAGAACCAAAGAGTATGGGTTCCTGCAGTCACGAAAGCTTCAAATCAAGATAGAAACGTACAAGTTCTGCCTTTTCCTGCCATAGAATTCCAGCATCCCCTCGATACGTTGCTCGCTGTCACGTGCCCGGGGCTTCGTTTGCATTCGGCAATTATCAACCCGCTGCTTATCACGGGCCGCCGTTCCCACGGACTGAAACCCACATGGACTCGTCATGTCGAGACTTGTCTGGGTGCACGAGGCCGACGCAAAAGGCCACACGTTCAAGACAACGGGGGAGTTTCTCTGCCAGTCTATAATGTAGACTTTAGAGAGTTTCTCTCCCCCGTTGTTCTTTTTCCCGAGTTCTTATGAACCTTGCTCAACACAGGAAGTGTGCCAATTCTGTGCTGCTGCTGATGCTGCTCTTATTCTTTGGTTCTTTCGGTATAAAAATAAAAAGAAAGTGAATAAAAATAATAACATTTAAATAATAATTAAGCACTAATGTAGAATGTAGCCTGGTTCTTAATCTGAGTGAGTGTACTGGCAGTCTATAATGTAGACTGTAGCCTGGTTCTTAATCTGAGTGAGTGTACTGGCAGTCTGTAATGCAGACTGTAGTCTGGTTCTTAATCTGAGTGAGTGTACTGGCAGTCTATAATATAGACTGTAGCATGGTTATTAAGTTTCGTGAGTGTACTGGCAGTCTATAATGTATACTGTAGCCTGGTTATTAAGCTGAGTGAGTGTACTTGCAGTCTATAGTGTAGACTGTAGCCTGGTTATTAATTTGAGTGAGTGTACTGGCAGTCTATAGTGTAGACTGTAGCCTGGTTATTAATTTGAGTGAGTGTACTGGCAGTCTATAGTGTAGACTGTAGCCTGGTTCTGAATCTGAGTGAGTGTACTGGCAGTCTATAGTGTAGACTGTAGCCTGGTTATTAATTTGAGTGAGTGTACTGGCAGTCTATAGTGTAGACTGTAGCCTGGTTCTGAATCTGAGTGAGTGTACTGGCAGTCTATAGTGTAGACTCTAGCCTGGTTATTAAGCTGGGTGAGCATACTGGCAGTCTATAATGTAGACTGTAGCTTGGTTCTTAATCTGAGTGAGCGTACTGGCAGTCTATAAAGTAGACTGTAGCCTGGTTCTTAACCTCGGTGAGTGTACTGGCAGTCTATAATGTAGACTGTAGCCTGGTTCTTAACCTCGGTGAGCGTACTGGCAGTCTATAATGTAGACTGTAGCCTGGTTCTTAACCTCGGTGAGTGTACTGGCAGTCTATAATGTAGACTGTAGCCTGGTTATTAACCTCGGTGAGTGTACTGACAGTCTATAATGTAGACTGTAGCCTGGTTATTAACCTCGGTGAGTGTACTGACAGTCTATAATGTAGACTGTAGCCTGGTTATTAACCTCGGTGAGTGTACTGACAGTCTATAATGTAGACTGTAGCCTGGTTATTAACCTCGGTGAGTGTACTGACAGTCTATAATGTAGACTGTAGCCTGGTTATTAACCTCGGTGAGTGTACTGGCAGTCTATAATGTAGACTGTAGCCTGGTTATTAACCTCGGTGAGTGTACTGACAGTCTATAATGTAGACTGTAGCCTGGTTCTTCACCTCGGTGAGCGTACTGGCAGTCTATAATGTAGACTGTAGCCTGGTTCTTAACCTCGGTGAGCGCACTGCCAGTCTATAATGTAGGCTGTAGCCTGGTTATTAACCTCGGTGAGCGTACTGGCAGTCTATAATGTAGACTGTAGCCTGGTTATTAACCTCGGTGAGCGTACTGGCAGTCTATAATGTAGACTGTAGCCTGGTTCTTAACCTCGGTGAGCGTACTGGCAGTCTATAATGTAGACTGTAGCCTGGTTATTAATCTGGGTGAGTGTACTGGTGGTCTATAATGTAGACTGTAGCCTGGTTATAAAGCTGGATGAGTGTACTGACAGTCTATAATGTAGACTGTAGCCTGCTGCTGCTCTTGTTCATTGCTTTCCGCTTGGCGTTTCGGGCGTGGCTGTGCTCAGTCACCGTGATATTAAATAAAAAGAATGGCATGCCTACAATAACACAGACTATTACTTCTGCCTTTACACTGTCTTTTGATACTTTATTTAACCTATTAATAATAGGGGTTTTCCCCCTTTTTTGGCAACAAAACTGAAACCTTTTACAATGATTCATGTCTGCATTAACCACAATACTTGCATTCAAAATGCAAAGAAAAAAACACACTGATAATAAATGCATTGTCCTTGAAACTGATTGGTCGACACCGAGGGACGGCTTTCTTTTGAGCCTCGATCCAATTGGTGCTCGACCAGAGGACGCCAAAAGGCGTACAGCTCAAAGACAATTCAAGTATTGTGGTTAATGCAGACATGAATCCTTGTAAAAAGGTTTCAGTTTTGTTGCCAGAAAAAAGGGGAACATTTTTTTTTTGGTACTTGCAAAGGAGGTTTAATTTAACCTCTCGATTATTTAAAAGTGGTTTATGTGACACGACGAAATCTTGAACGCGATCTTCTTTCACCGTGCCTTTCTGTAAGAGAGAGAAACTAAAAACGTTTGAACGCGTCTCATCCCAACTGGCAGCTGTCGATGGACAATTCCACCATCGTCATCTCGTCACTGCATCGCAGCGACGGTGCCGACTACAAGTGCATTGCCACCACCGATGATGGAATAACCCACACGGGCTCGACGAAGTTGGACGTCTATTGTAAGTGTGCACCTCCGAGCCGCATTCAAATCAACTCAATTTTGCACGTAAATCTTGACTTAAAGCTTTCGTGACTGCAGGAATTCATGTTCTTTGGTTCTTTCGGTAAAGTCACGTAGATCGACTAATAGGGGTTTTCCCCCTTTTTTCTGGCTTACATTAACCACAATACTAGCAGTCAAAATGCAAAAAAAACCAATACTCTGATAATTTATGTATTGTCCTTGAAACTCATTGGTCCACACCAGAGACAGCTTTCCTTAGAGCCTAGTCTCATACGGTGTTCGACCAGATCAAGGCCTCATGTAGATAGGTTCAAAGAATTTCGATTTAAAGCTTTCGTGATTGCAGGGATTCATCTTCTTGGTTCTTTCGGTAAAGTCACGTAGATGGAAAATAAAAAAATAAAAAAATATAAAACATAAAATACAATTCTCACGACGAAAATAACAAAAAATATTTTCTTTGAACCTATCTACGTGACTTTACCGAAAGACCCAACAATATAATTTGCACATCATTAAGCGGGGTTTAAAGTAAACTATTTTATTTCGCCAGCTAAAGCCCACCGAGACCTTTGGTGCTTTTCTCAGAGGCGATCTGGTTGCACATGACAGCTGATGGAAGTGGCTCGTCATCGTCGCATGCGGGAATTTATAGTAGCAGCCGCATAAGGGGCCGTCCATAAATGACGTCACGCGATTTTGGACGATTTTTGACTCCCCCCCCCCCCTTCGTCACACGGCGTCACAAAAAGTCAAACCCCCCCCCTCAAATATGACGTCACAAAGCTCTGCCCCCCCCCCAAAAAAAACTAAAACATGCTTCAAATCGCTTTAAACAATTTTCATTGTAGCGCGTATTTAATATGGCGCTGCACTCTGATGTTGTCGGAGAAAACATTTATTAAAAAGTCTATTTAATTAAGTAGAAATTGTTGTCTATGTTTATTTAAAGTTGCGCATTTTGATGTGGGGGGGGGGGGGTCTGACTTTTGTGACGCCGTGTGACGAAGGGGAGTGGGGGGCAAAAATTGTCCAAAATCGCGTGACGTCATTTATGGACGGCCCCTATGGCTCACAGATACATTTACCCCGAATGTCAGGTGTGTGTGTGTGGTGGCAGCAATGCGTTACGAACCCGGTGATCCGAATTAAATTCCTGCTCACCACCAATAAACAGTGGCGAATATATGAACTTAGTCCTGGGCCCTGTCGAGGTCGACTCAGCCTTAAATGAGTACCTCGCGCGGTGTGCAAACATCAACACCGGCGAGACAAAGGCGACCGGGCGTGGCGTTGGTCACCCATCCTCTCGCGTGCCGTGCCAGCCGTAACAGCTGATCGCGAACAGTGCTCTGTCACAGTTCCAATGATTGCTTTTTCATTGCTTTCATGGCTTTATTTAGGTGATTTCGAAAAGTGTATTGGTTTAGCCATGTTTGTTTGTTGTAGTACAGAGTTAGACTGATGGCCTTAATCTAAGTTGTCTTGTGGTTGTTGTTGTTGATTGACTTGCATCCCACTGGGATTTTTGCACACAGCGTTGATGTACGGTAATTTTCCTGCAATATTTTGCTGTCTTTTCTTGGATTTTCTGTTTGCACTTAGTCACATATTCACTTTAAGATGTTTTTTGTTCGTGTTTTTGTTTTTTGTTTGTTGCGTTTGCACCCGATTCAAGAGCCGAATGGCTCACAGGGTTATACCTAATAAATGAACTTGAACTTGAACAGTCCGTTAAGGCTACCTGGGGGATCTTTGCCTTTGTGTGGCAGACCCTCCCCAGTCCATGACGTTGAGGCTGAGCCCCCACGGCGATCCGGTGGCCCGAAGCGATCGGAGCCCGGCGCACGTGGCCGTGGCAAAGGGGGCCTCGCTCACGCTCATCTGCGAAGGGGACTCCAACCCGACGCTGATAATGGCGTGGAAGAGAGGGTCGGAAGAGATCGACCACTGGACCTCGGAGTACACCGTCGAGCAGCCGCAAGAGGCCGTGTACACGTGCGAGGCCGTGTACGAGATCGCCAACGTCAAGTACAACGTTTCCGTCAACGTCACCATTCAGGGTGGGCATCACTCCACGTGGATTTCTCTTTTTGTTGTATACATCTAAACAGCGAGTCACTAAACGACACGAGACTTTTGTGTCAGGGTCAAGATATGTCACTGATAATATTACACCGTTCTGATCGATCCCTCGGCTATCGCATGGTCAGCACTCCACCTCAAAGTTCTGTACTTACAACATCCCATCATCCCATCATCTCAACATCCGGCTCAGGGGTCGGCAACCTGCGGTCTCCGGAGCCGTGTGTGGCAGTGCTCATGAAGGACTGGCTCGTGACGTTATTTATTCACGACCACTGTCCCGTATTCAACACAGTGCATTGCGGCTCTTGAAATATTGAGGTTTTTTTTTACCGAATTCGAGAAAATAAATGGCTCTTAAAAGTTGAACTTAAAACTTTCGTGACTGCAGGAATTCATATTCTATGGTTCTTTCGGTAAAGGCACGTAGATAGAAAAAATAAAATGATAAAAATTAAAGTTAATACAAATATCACGACCTTTCGATCGCAACACAAGCGGTCGTCATCAGGAACAGGGAGGTTAGCCTCTGAGGGTGAGCTGTTTATAAAGGTTTAGAGATGGGCGGGGCAGCTAATGTAAACCTTCACTTTATTTTTTTATTATTTCATTGCGATGTCTGTAACGACGTAGAAAGTCAAGGCCTTTGTCAATGCACTGCTTGATATCAATCCACACACACACATAGGATGATATCAATCCACACACACACATAGGCTGATATCAATCCACACACACACACAGGTTCATATCAATCCACACACACACAGGTTCATATCAATCCACACACACACAGGTTCATATCAATCCACACACACACATAGGCTGATATCAATCCACACACACGTAGGATGCGGCGGCCGTCGGGGATCGTGAGTGCCATCTGACCATACCTGAATGGACACGGAACTCAAGTAACGATGTCTTGTGTTCTTGTTGCTGTTTACCTTTCACAGAACCGGTCTCAAAGCCACAAGTGAAGGTAGAGAGCACGGTGGTGCTGGACCGGGCGGGCGCTGTGACCATGACCTGCTCACACGACATGAACACACAGCCCGAGTACGGCTGGTTGCGGAACAATCGACCCATCTCCGCCCAGGAGGAGAGGCACACGTTCATCGATGGAGGTGCCTCCCTGCGTGTGGAAAGCGTCCGCCGTACAGACACGGGGGACTACCGATGTGCGGTGTGGAATGACGTGAGCAAGGAGACAAGCGAGCCAGTGGCGGTGACGATTCTCGGTAAATATGCACCGTCTTACTGGAACTTATTATGAATCGAGTGACCTCTATTATCCACACACAATCGGGTTCACTTCCTCGCGTGCCCTGCTACTAAGAAGCGTTCATTATACGGCAGTCAAACTGACATTTGTAAGTGCCAAAAGCTGTAATTTTTGTCGAATGAAGTGAAAACACAAATTCAATATCGTGGATTTTTTTTTTAATGCAGCCAGCTATACTTAAGAACTCAGTTGAATCATGGATGGTTGGAATCCAGATTTAAATCCAGGATCTCGGCAGTATAGTGCGTGCACAGCGGTCAGTGAACCACTTTAGCTCAATAGTAATCATGGTGAAACACTGTCCCTACGTATGTTTTAGTCGTCCCAGCGAAACGGTACCGTCGTTTTTTTGTGAATAAGAAGTGCGGCATTTATATGACGGGAGATGCTGAACATTGTTGTCGTGTTGTCGTGAAACAGAAGCCGTCACAAAGCCGCGAGTTGAGATGGACAGAAGCGAGGCACTAGAGGGGACTCACTCTGTGACCATGACCTGCTCACACCACATGAGCACACAGCCTGAGTACAGTTGGTTGCGGGACAATCGACCCATCTCTGCTCCGGAGGAGAGACACAAATTCATCGATGGAAATGCCTCCCTGCGTGTGGAAAACGTCCAAAAGGAAGATGCAGGGCTGTACCAGTGTGTGGTAAAAAACAGCTTGAGTACAGAGACCAGTGATCCAGTGAGGATGACAGTTCTAGGTAAATATTGCAATTTCTTTTGGGGTTTTTTCCCCCCAATTGTCATCCAGTTGTGCCAGGCCTGGATTGTTTTTTTTCTAATAAAAATGTAACACAAGACAGCATTGCAACACTTCACGTTATAAAGTATAAATTCAAGAGGTGGCCACGTGGTTCAGGCCTTAGGGCACTGAGCTGACGCTGCTGAGATCCTGGGTTTGAATCTGGACTTCAGCCACCTGTGATCAAACCCGGTGTAACAGGCTAAAATAACCCCTGCCCCGATTAAACCCGGGTATAGTTTGGCCCAGGCCAGAGTATACCCGGGGGGATAAAGTGTCCTAGGCTCAACTATACCCCCCGGGGGTTTAAACTAGACTGGGCCAGACCATACCCCTCCAGGCCAGAATATGCCCCATGTTAAGAGTTCAAAGGCAATTATCCACACAGAGAACAGCCGGCAACGAACTTCAATCGATATCTAAAAAGCGTATAAATGGAAGTAAGAATCTCAATTTGATCAATTGAAGCATTTTTAGGGTTAGGGTTATTATTACAGTTTTTCTGGTGGAAGCAATCAAAGTCTATGTGTTTACAGTTTTAAATAAAATGTTGTAAAAATTTAGTAATTCATGTGAATATCGCACAACACGATTACTATCATTGGGGTATGATTTGGCCTAGAGGGGCATAATTTGGCCTAGGCCATAATATACCCGGGTATAATCTAGCCTAGGCCGTTTTAACCCCGGGTACACTACGGCCTGTGGGTACACTACGGCCTGTTACACCGGCTCTCAAGTGTAGCTGGGTCATGTTCTCAACCCAGTCGCCAATGACTATATAAAAACACAATCACTTTGAATTTGGGGTTTCACTTCATTGGGAAAAACTCCTGCTCTAAGAATGAACACTACACATTCGACTGCCATGCAATAAACACGACTGAGTAGCAGGGCATGTGGGGAAGTGCACCCCCTTGAGTGGGGACAATGCACGTCACTTGCAGGGATCTCAGGGTCAGAAGTGCGCAACATCTTCTAGTGTACGAAGTTGCACTTCTCTGTGAGAGTTCCAAATGGACACTTTTTCTTCTGAAGACACGATGCTCCAAGAACCTGGTTTATTCACAGGAGTCTGAAATATAAATTCTGCCCAGAATCTGAGCAGTGTCATCTCAGTGGTGCGAGCCACCAGGCCACTTCTTGAATTTATTTATTAGAACGTGAAGTGGTGCTACTCTGTTTTGCATTACATTTTTGTCACAAAAACATTTAACTTTACTGCATAATTATCTTCGATTTGTGAGCAACGTTTCAATTTCCTTTTGAGAGGTTGGTCGATCGTGATGCTGAACATTGTTGTCGTGTTGTCGTGCAACAGAAGCCGCCACAAAGCCGCGAGTTGAGATGGACAGCAGCGAGGCACTAGAGGGGACTCACTCTGTGACCATGACCTGCTCACACCACATGAGCACACAGCCTGAGTACAGTTGGTTGCGGGACAATCGACCCATCTCTGCTTCGAAGGAGAGGCACAAATTCCTCGATGGAAATGCTTCCCTGCGCATGGAAAACGTCAAAAAGGAAGATGCAGGGCTGTACCAGTGTGTGGTAAAAAACAGCTTGAGTGCAGAGACCAGTGATCCAGTGATGATGACAGTGCTAGGTAAATATTACAATTTCTTTCGGGGTTATTTTTTTCCCAATTTGTATCCAGTTGTGCCAGGCCTGGATTTTTTTCGTAATACAAATGTAACACAAGACAGCATTGCAACACTTAACGTTATAAAGTAGCAATTCACGAGGTGGCCACGTGGTTCAGGCCTCATGACACTGAGCTGACGCTGCTGAGATCCTGGGTTTGAATCTGGACTTGAGCCACCTGCGATGAAGCCAGATTTTCCAGTGTAGCTGGTTCATGGTCTCGACGCAGTCAACAATGACTGCATGAAAACACAATCACTTTGAATTTTCACTTAATTGGAAAAAAAAAACCTGCTCTGAGAATTAAACATTTCAATTGTGACTGCCATGCAATAAACACGACTGAGTAGCAGGGCATGTGGAAAGTGCACCCCCTTGAGTGGGGACAATGAAGGTCACTTGCAGGCATCTCAGGGTCAGAAGTGCGCAACATCTTCTAGTGTACGAAGTTGCACTTCTCTGTGAGAGTTCCAAATGGACACTTTTCTTTTCAAGACGCAATGCTCCAAGAACTTGGTTTATTCACAGGAGTCTGAAATATAAATTCTGCCCAGGATCTCAGCAGTGTCATCTTGGTTGCCTGAGCCACCCCACCACTTCTTGAATTTATTTATTAGAACGTGAAGTTGTGCTACTCTGTTTTGCATGGCATTTTTGTCACAAAAACATTTTACTTTATTGCACAATTATCTTCCGATTTGTGAACACAGGTTCATTTTCCTTTTGAGAGGTTGGTCGACCGTGATGCTGAACATTGTTGCTGTGTTGTTGTGCAACAGAAGCCGTCACAAAGCCACGAGTTGAGATGGACAGAAGCGAGGCACTAGAGGGGACTCACTCTGTGACCATGACCTGCTCACACGACATGAGCACACAGCCTGAGTACAGTTGGTTGCGGAACAATCGACCCATCTCTGCTCCGGAGGAGAGATGCAAATTCCTCGATGGAAATGCCTCCCTGCGTGTGGAAAACGTCAAAAAGGAAGATGCAGGGCTGTACCAGTGTGTGGTAAAAAACAGCTTGAGTACAGAGACCAGTGATCCAGTGAAGATGACAGTGCTGGGTAAATATTAAAATTTCTTTAGGGTTTTTTTTCCCCAATTGTCATCCAGTTGCGCCAGACCTGGATTTTTTCCCCAATACAAATGTAACACAAGACAGCATTGCAACACTTCACGTTATAAAGTAGCAATTCACGAGGTGGCCACGTGGTTCAGGCCTCATGACACTGAGCTGACGCTGCTGAGATCCTGGGTTTGAATCTGGACTTGAGCCACCTGCGATGAAGCCAGATTTTCCAGTGTAGCTGGTTCATGGTCTCGACGCAGTCAACAATGACTGCATGAAAACACAATTACTTTGAATTTTCACTTAATTGGAAAAAAAAAACCTGCTCTGAGAATTAAACATTTCAATTGTGACTGCCATGCAATAAACACGACTGAGTAGCAGGGCATGTGGAAAGTGCACCCCCTTGAGTGGGGACAATGAAGGTCACTTGCAGGCATCTCAGGGTCAGAAGTGCGCAACATCTTCTAGTGTACGAAGTTGCACTTCTCTGTGAGAGTTCCAAATGGACACTTTTCTTTTCAAGACGCAATGCTCCAAGAACTTGGTTTATTCACAGGAGTCTGAAATATAAATTCTGCCCAGGATCTCAGCAGTGTCATCTTGGTTGCCTGAGCCACCCCACCACTTCTTGAATTTATTTATTAGAACGTGAAGTTGTGCTACTCTGTTTTGCATGGCATTTTTGTCACAAAAACATTTTACTTTATTGCACAATTATCTTCCGATTTGTGAGCACAGGTTCATTTTCCTTTTGAGAGGTTGGTCGACCGTGATGCTGAACATTGTTGCTGTGTTGTTGTGCAACAGAAGCCGTCACAAAGCCACGAGTTGAGATGGACAGAAGCGAGGCACTAGAGGGGACTCACTCTGTGACCATGACCTGCTCACACGACATGAGCACACAGCCTGAGTACAGTTGGTTGCGGAACAATCGACCCATCTCTGCTCCGGAGGAGAGATGCAAATTCCTCGATGGAAATGCCTCCCTGCGTGTGGAAAACGTCAAAAAGGAAGATGCAGGGCTGTACCAGTGTGTGGTAAAAAACAGCTTGAGTACAGAGACCAGTGATCCAGTGAAGATGACAGTGCTGGGTAAATATTAAAATTTCTTTAGGGTTTTTTTTCCCCAATTGTCATCCAGTTGCGCCAGACCTGGATTTTTTCCCCAATACAAATGTAACACAAGACAGCATTGCAACACTTCACGTTATAAAGTAGCAATTCACGAGGTGGCCACGTGGTTCAGGCCTCATGACACTGAGCTGACGCTGCTGAGATCCTGGGTTTGAATCTGGACTTGAGCCACCTGCGATGAAGCCAGATTTTCCAGTGTAGCTGGTTCATGGTCTCGACGCAGTCAACAATGACTGCATGAAAACACAATCACTTTGAATTTTCACTTAATTGGAAAAAAAACCTGCTCTGAGAATTAAACATTTCAATTGTGACTGCCATGCAATAAACACGACTGAGTAGCAGGGCATGTGGAAAGTGCACCCCCTTGAGTGGGGACAATGAAGGTCACTTGCAGGCATCTCAGGGTCAGAAGTCTGCAACATCTTCTAGTGTACGAAGTTGCACTTCTCTGTGAGAGTTCCAAATGGACACTTTTCTTTTCAAGACGCAATGCTCAAAGAACTTGGTTTATTCACAGGAGTCTGAAATATAAATTCTGCCCAGGATCTCAGCAGTGTCATCTTGGTTGGCTGAGCCACCAGGCCACTTCTTGAATTAATTTATTAGAACGTGAAGTCGTGCTACTCTGTTTTGCATAACATTTTTGTCACAAAAACATTTCACTTTACTGCATAATTATCTTCGATTTGTGAGAAACGTTTCAATTTCCTTTTAAGAGGTTGGTCGACCGTGATGCTGAACATTGTTGTCGTGTTGTCGTGCAACAGAAGCCGCCACAAAGCCGCGAGTTGAGATGGACAGAAGCGAGGCACTAGAGGGGACTCACTCTGTAACCATGACCTGCTCACACGACATGAGCACACAGCCTGAGTATAGTTGGTTGTGGGACAATCGACCCATCTCTGCTCTGGAGGAGAGACACAAATTCTTCGATGGAAATGCCTCCCTGCGCGTGGAAAACGTCAAAAAGGAAGATGCAGGGCTGTACCAGTGTGTGGTAAAAAACAGCTTGAGCACAGAGACCAGTGATCCAGTGATGATGACAGTGCTAGGTAAATATTTCAATTTCTTTCGGGGTTATGTTTTTCTCCAATTTGTATCCAGTTGCGCCAGGCCTGGATTTTTTTTTCCAATACAAATGTAACACAAGACAGCATTGCAACACTTCACGTTATAAAGTAGCAATTGAAGAGATGGCCACGTGGTTCAGGCCTCATGACACTGAGCTGACGCTGCTGAGATCCTGGGTTTGAATCTGGACTTGAGCCACCTGCGATGAAGCCAGGTTTTCCAGTATAGCTGGTTCATGGTGTCAACGCAGTCACCAATGACTGCATGAAGACACAATCACTTTGAATTTTCACTTATTTGGAAAAAAAAACTGATCTGAGAATTAAACATTTCAATTGTGACTGCCATGCAATAAACACGACTGAGTAGCAGGGCATGTGGAAAGTGCACCCCCTTGAGTGGGGACAATGAAGGTCACTTGCAGGCATCTCAGGGTCAGAAGTGCGCAACATCTTCTAGTGTACGAAGATGCACTTCTCTGTGAGAGTTCCAAATGGGTATTTTTTTTTCTCAAGACGCGATGCTCCAAGATCATGGTTTATTCACAGGAGTCTGAAATATAAATTCTGCCCAGGATCTCAGTAGTGTCATCTCGGTTGCTTGAGCCACCAAGCCACTTCTTGAATTAATTTATTAGAACGTGAAGTTGTGCTACTCTGTTTTGCATGGCATTTTTGTCACAAAAACATTTCACTTTATTGCACAATTATCTTCCGATTTGTGAGCACAGGTTCATTTTCCTTTTGAGAGGTTGGTCGACCGTGATGCTGAACATTGTTGCTGTGTTGTTGTGCAACAGAAGCCGTCACAAAGCCACGAGTTGACATGGACAGAAGCGAGGCACTAGAGGGGACTCACTCTGTGACCATGACCTGCTCACACGACATGAGCACACAGCCTGAGTACAGTTGGTTGCGGAACAATCGACCCATCTCTGCTCCGGAGGAGAGACGCAAATTCCTCGATGGAAATGCCTCCCTGCGCGTGGAAAACGTCAAAAAGGAAGATGCAGGGCTGTACCAGTGTGTGGTAAAAAACAGCTTGAGTACAGAGACCAGTGATCCAGTGATGATGACAGTGCTAGGTAAATATTTCAATTTCTTTCGGGGTTATTTTTTTCCCAATTTGTATCCAGTTGCGCTAGGCCTGGATTTTTTTTTCCAATACAAATGTAACACAAGACAGCATTGCAACACTTCACGTTGCAAAGTAGCAATTCAAGATGTGGCCACGTGGTTCAGGCCTCATGACACTGAGCTGACGCTGCTGAGATCCTGGGTTTGAATCTGGACTTGAGCCACCTGCGATGAAGCCAGGTTTTCCAGTGTAGCTGGTTCATGGTCTCAACGCAGTCACCAATGACTGCATGAAAACACAATCACTTTGAATTTTCACTTAATTGGAAAAAAAAACCTGCTCTGAGAATTAAACATTTCAATTGTGACTGCCATGCAATAAACACGACTGAGTAGCAGGGCATGTGGAAAGTGCACCCCCTTGAGTGGGGACAATGAAGGTCACTTGCAGGCATCTCAGGGTCAGAAGTGCGCAACATCTTCTAGTGTACGAAGTTGCACTTCTCTGTGAGAGTTCCAAATCGACACTTTTTTCTTCTCAAGACGCAATGCTCCAAGATCATGGTTTATTCACAGGTGTCTGAAATATAAATTCTGCCCAGGATCTCAGCAGTGTCATCTCGGTTGCTTGAGCCACCAAGCCACTTCTTGAATTTATTTATTAGAACGTGAAGTCGTGCTACTCTGTTTTGCATTACATTTTTGTAACAAAAACATTTCACTTTACTGCGTAATTATCTTCGATTTGTGAGCAACGTTTCAATTTCCTTTTGAGAGGTTGGTCGATCGTGATGCTGAACATTGTTGTCGTGTTGTCGTGCAACAGAAGCCGTCACAAAGCCGCGAGTTGAGATGGACAGAAGCGAGGCACTAGAGGGGACTCACTCTGTGACCATGACCTGCTCACACCACATGAGCACACAGCCTGAGTACAGTTGGTTGCGGGACAATCGACCCATCTCTGCTTCGGAGGAGAGGCACAAATTCCTCGATGGAATTGCTTCCCTGCGCATGGAAAACGTCAAAAAGGAAGATGCAGGGCTGTACCAGTGTGTGGTAAAAAACAGCTTGAGTGCAGAGACCAGTGATCCAGTGATGATGACAGTGCTAGGTAAATATTACAATTTCTTTCGGGGTTATTTTTTTCCCAATTTGTATCCAGTTGTGCCAGGCCTGGATTTTTTTCGTAATACAAATGTAACACAAGACAGCATTGCAACACTTCACGTTATAAAGTAGCAATTCACGAGGTGGCCACGTGGTTCAGGCCTCATGACACTGAGCTGACGCTGCTGAGATCCTGGGTTTGAATCTGGACTTGAGCCACCTGCGATGAAGCCAGATTTTCCAGTGTAGCTGGTTCATGGTCTCGACGCAGTCAACAATGACTGCATGAAGACACAATCACTTTGAATTTTCACTTATTTGGAAAAAAAAACTGACCTGAGAATTAAACATTACAATTGTGACTGCCATGCAATAAACACGACTGAGTAGCAGGGCATGTGGAAAGTGCACCCCCTTGAGTGGGGACAATGAAGGTCACTTGCAGGCATCTCAGGGTCAGAAGTGCGCAACATCTTCTAGTGTACGAAGATGCACTTCTCTGTGAGAGTTCCAAATGGGTATTTTTTTTCTCAAGACGCGATGCTCCAAGATCATGGTTTATTCACAGGTGTCTGAAATATAAATTCTGCCCAGGATCTCAGCAGTGTCATCTCGGTTGCCTGAGCCACCAGGCCACTTCTTGAATTAATTTATTAGAACGTGAAGTTGTGCTACTCTGTTTTGCATGGCATTTTTGTCACAAAAACATTTCACTTTATTGCATAATTATCTTCGATTTGTGAGCAACGTTTCATTTTCCTTTTGAGAGGTTGGTCGATCGTGATGCTGAACATTGTTGTCGTGTTGTCGTGCAACAGAAGCCGCCACAAAGCCGCGAGTTGAGATGGACAGCAGCGAGGCACTAGAGGGGACTCACTCTGTGACCATGACCTGCTCACACCACATGAGCACACAGCCTGAGTACAGTTGGTTGCGGGACAATCGACCCATCTCTGCTTCGGAGGAGAGGCACAAATTCCTCGATGGAAATGCTTCCCTGCGCATGGAAAACGTCAAAAAGGAAGATGCAGGGCTGTACCAGTGTGTGGTAAAAAACAGCTTGAGTGCAGAGACCAGTGATCCAGTGATGATGACAGTGCTAGGTAAATATTACAATTTCTTTCGGGGTTATGTTTTTCTCCAATTTGTATCCAGTTGCGCCAGGCCTGGATTTTTTTTTCAAATACAAATGTAACACAAGACAGCATTGCAACACTTCACGTTATAAAGTAGCAATTGAAGAGATGGCCACGTGGTTCAGGCCTCATGACACTGAGCTGACGCTGCTGAGATCCTGGGTTTGAATCTGGACTGGAACCACCTGCGATGAAGCCAGGTTTTCCAGTGTAGCTGGTTCATGGTCTCAACGCAGTCACCAATGACTGCATGAAGACACAATCACTTTGAATTTTCACTTATTTGGAAAAAAAAACTGACCTGAGAATTAAACATTACAATTGTGACTGCCATGCAATAAACACGATTGAGTAGCAGGGCATGTGGAAAGTGCACCCCCTTGAGTGGGGACAATGAAGGTCACTTGCAGGGATCTCAGGGTCAGAAGTGCGCAACATCTTCTAGTGTACGAAGTTGCACTTCTCTGTGAGAGTTCCAAATCGACACTTTTTTCTTCTCAAGACGCAATGCTCCAAGATCATGGTTTATTCACAGGTGTCTGAAATATAAATTCTGCCCAGGATCTCAGCAGTGTCATCTCGGTTGCCTGAGCCACCAGGCCACTTCTTGAATTAATTTATTAGGACGTGAAGTCGTGCTACTCTGTTTTGCATAACATTTTTGTCACAAAAACATTTAACTTTACTGCGTAATTATCTTCCGCTTTGTGAGCAACGTTTCAATTTATTTTTGAGAGGTTGGTCGACCGTGATGCTGAACATTGTTGTCGTGTTGTCGTGCAACAGAAGCCGCCACAAAGCCACGAGTTGAGATGGACAGAAGCGAGGCACTAGAGGGGACTCACTCTGTGACCATGACCTGCTCACACGACATGAGCACACAGCCTGAGTACAGTTGGTTGCGGGACAATCGACCCATCTCTGCTTCGGAGGAGAGGCACAAATTCCTCGATGGAAATGCTTCCCTGCGCATGGAAAACGTCAAAAAGGAAGATGCAGGGCTGTACCAGTGTGTGGTAAAAAACAGCTTGAGTGCAGAGACCAGTGATCCAGTGATGATGACAGTTCTAGGTAAATATTGGATAAAAAAAAACATACAACATGCCAGTCATGCATGCAACGATGAACCACCCATTCTGCGACACACCAGAACTTCTGTTGTCACCATTCACAGTCACAGCGTTCGTAGCGCAAAAGCATTTTGTTTTTACCATCTCATTCGTAATATTTTTGTACAATGTTCTACACTCCATTAGCGTACAGTCTGAATAAAATGTACAAAAATACTCTCGTTCCCATGAAATTGGACGCATGTATATTTTAAACACTGATAATGATCTATGCAGTGTGAACAGTCATGCGTCTTGACATACTCCCACACCGCTGGGCTGCGAGGTTGCCTGGAGAAGTAGCAGACGTTTCAATGTTATCTTTAATGTTATCTTTAATGTTTTCGCATCTTGTGCGAAATTTTCCCATTTACTAAAAGTAAAATTGGCCAAACATTGCAATGCACGGGGGCTCCTAAAAACGTCCTGTGACTTTCTTGGATGAATACATGCTTTCATCTATATACAGCATACACAATCAAATGGTGAATTTTTGGGGATTTCCCAATGAAAATTCCGTATATGGCTGTGGTCGTGGTAGCACATAATTTCTTTTCTGAGCCTAAAATGAAAACAAGATCGGTAATAATCTACAATTCCTTAATCTAATTAATGTTATACCGAATAACAACTTGTCATTCAGCTATGGCATTTGTCCTTAAGTAGAGAAAGAGTGGACACATGTCAGTAGGCTACCGCTAAATTGCAAGGGGAAAAAAACCCATGTCTGTTAAAGATGTTACATGCATTAATATTACGCTCATTTGGTACAATTTGTGGGTACTTTGTTGATTTTGCAACCCTACAACTTTTCCATTATCCTACAGCGGCCCATTTATTTGATACATTATACATATAATGTCCTTCCTCGATTAAAAACGGTGTTGTCGTGCTGCTTGCAGGGCGTGTCTCAAAGCCACAAGTCAACATGAATGAAAGAAAGGTCGAGGAAGGGCACAGCCCTCTGATCATGACCTGCACAAATAGCAGGGAAACGGGTCACCAGTTCCTCTGGTTCCAGGATGAACGGCTCATCTCTGCTCCGGACCAGAGGTTGTCGCTCTCCAATGGAGGCGCCACTCTGCGCGTGGAAGTCGTCCAACTCAGCGACGCCGGGGAGTACACGTGCTTGGTGCAGAACAACGCGAGCGAAGCGATCAGTGAGCCAGTGACGCTAACCGTCCTGGGTGAGTACACGCAGGAGACGTGTCATGTGGCCCAGCTGTGAAGTTGTAACAGAAGAGGCTGCCCCTTAGAGAAAGAAAATAACCACAACCGGATCTCGTCGTGTAGCTTACACGCCCAGGCTGCCTGCCCCTCGGATGGCTGAAATACATTCGAAATATGTGATTAATGATTACAAAAATAGATTTAACATGATCCATTGTCTGTTGATTAACTGTGACCAATCCGACCATTGAAATGTATATGACTATACATTTACCCCACTCTGGTCTTCGCACCTAATAGGTTCACAGTGATGGCATCACCTTCAGTCTATTTAAGACCAAAACGGGAATACGTCTTCCCAATTCTTGCAAATCGCCTGATGAAGCTGGTTGTAACCACCAGCGAAACGTCGTAATCGAATTGTAAATGTCGTGGGTTTTACTCTCCAACACACCGGTGTGCTGAAGTACTAACTAATTGCCACGTTTTGTTTGACGTGACTAACCTTACTAATTGGCTGTGTCGGGTGGTGGTAGGTTAATGACACATTAATATATTTATGCGCTATAACCCAAAGAAAATCATTTGCTAATAATAATTTTGGTCACTCCATTGTGACGTCAAACCCATACGCTGTCGCAGAACAATGGAGTGATTTCATGAGAGTGCTTTCCCTGAGCCGATTTTAGAGTACTTAATTATGAGCTTTCGTGACTGCAGGAATTACTCTTTGGTTCTTTCGGTAAAGTCACGTATAAAGATAAATAATAGAGTCTTCTTTTTTGCCATTCACGGAAGCTTCAAACTCGTGTCGGACAACCAGGGACACTCTGCCTTGGTGTGTATTTTCAAGAGGAGAGCTGTGTGTTCTTATGGGTCGTGTCTTCCACTAATTGACATTGAATAAGAAATTATTTTATGAGACACCTGAATTTCCTTGTCTGAAGATCTATAACGTCTACAATGCAGAGAGATGACTTGCGTTTAATGTTTCTTCCAAAAAAATTAATCCAGAAATTTACCCCAAACTTCAAAACGTATGAGAACAGATATGAGATTAAGTTTTTCCCCTTTTTTCTGGCAACAAAACAGCTGTGTTAAGTTGTTAAAACACCAAACTGAAACCTTTTACAAGGAATCATGTCTGCATTAACCACAATACTTGTGGTCAAAATGAAAACAAAAAACATACTCTGATAACATATGCATTGTCTTTGAAAGTGATTGGCCCACACCAGAGCCAGCTTTCTTTTGAGCCTCGTCTCAAACGGTGAAAGACCAGAGGACGCCAAATGACTTTGGTGCGACTGGCACACAAGCACGCGGCGCAACAAATACCGCACTCGCGTTCGTCCAACGCGACCGTTTCTTTAAAAGGACAAACACACCGATGGTGACGCTTCGGGCCAAATGGGCCCCCCTCCTTCAGTAGCTGTAACGCGCTGCGGAGAATATGACCATTGCCCGAAACGTCATCTATCAGTTCACCGTTTCTCCCCGTGCCCCGCAGAGTCGCTCTCCAAGCCGGAGGTGAAGGTGAACGACAGCGTGGCTCGCGACGGCGACACTCGCGCGGTGCGCTTGGACTGCTGGCTCGCCGGGCGAGCGCGGGGCGGCGCGTCGTACTCGTGGCTCCTGGACGGCCGCAGGCTAGCGGAGGAGCCGGGGAAGTACGAGACGTCGGCCGACGGCGCCTCCCTGCTGGTGCTGCCCGCGGCTGTCGGCGCGTCTGGAGAGTTCCAGTGCGAGGTGCGCAACGGCCTGAGCAGCAAGAAGAGCGAGCCCGTCAAGTTGCCCCCTCCCGGTGAGCTCCCGATGCAAAGCGGATCCGGTGGCTTCGTTGCACATCTTCCACGCAGGCGGTAGCTATCCGAACGGTTACAATTATTTTCATTTATTTCTATTTCGCTAGATTCTCTCATTCGTCTTGGGCCAGTAGTAGCTAGTTTTGCACAGAACTTCAACGTTATCAAAATCAATTGAGTGTCCTTGTTGCCACGCGTGTTCTGCTACTGCTACCTGTATTATGGATGATATTGGTCGCGAACGCCTTCGTGTCAAACCAATTCGTTACGAGTTCAGCACACCTGTGTGTTGGGAGAGTAAACCCACAACATTTACAATTCGAGTACCGTGGACATTCCGCGGGTAATCGCTCTGCTAACGCCACTGCTGGCAGAAGGCCCGACCACTACATGGAGCTCTAGAGAGGCCCGTTTAGTTGGTAATTGGCCTACTCTTCCACGCTGGACAGACGTCTTGGGAGATGTGGGAGTACACACAACGCTTTGCCGAGTGGACTCACTGCGGTTGAAGCAGAGGTCGCAACCGGGTACCCGATACCCGTACCCTACCCGATACCCGGCTACCCGTACCCGGCCGGGTACGGGTACCCGTTTGCGACCCTGGTGCGGCCGGGTACGGGTACGGGTAGGCCGTGAGTCACCGGTGAGCAACCGTTTGTCACTCATTTCGGGTAGGGTACGGGTAGCGTACGGCTACCCGTACCCGGCCGGGTACGGTTACGGATACCCGTTTGCGACCCTGGTGCGGCCGGGTACGGGTACGGGTAAGGAATCAAAACCCGTTTGCGACCTCTGGGTTGAAGGCCGTTTTTGCTGCTGGGTGGGCAGAGCCAGAGGATTTCAGACAACCCATGGCACCGGTGGGCACTGGTGTTGCAAGTCCCGTGCGCTCACAGTTACATCACGGCATCAAGTGGATTTACTGTACAAAAATAGAAAGTCGACATAAGTTTCCTGTTTAAACAAGTGTGTGTGCTGTTCATATCCTCTGCTACTCCTAAAAAGCCCCCTTCCATACAAGTTAATGAGTTTCCTCTTCTCTGATTATGATTGACTCCCTCCTTATCTGGTAATATAAATAAGCCTCCTTTTTCCCCTTTATACCCTGGTCCCAGTTTTCTGTAAAGCGTGCCGCAATACAGTGGAAATTTCAAGGTATGATGCCAGGGATGAGTTTATCCATAGGAAAACAACAGTTGACTTCTCGCAAAGCGGTAATGATCTTATTGGCCCTGAAGGAATGAACGTGCACGGTTTTGTGCGCGTGTACTGCGAAATAAATGTATGGAAGATAATGAAAGGAATTTAACAAAATTAAGTAAAATTGCACTGTACGTTTACACACCGTACAGTTAACCAACCAGGTAGCTCGAAAGTTGTGAAGTCCACATCATGAGTGGGGGTCGACTCAGCTCATCATCCCTCCTGGGTCGATAAAATAAATACCAATTTGTGGGAAGTCAACAGGGGGTTTTCCTGTAGATTGACTCGCCCCTGCCACAAGAACGGGGGAATTTCCACCACTGGCTCAGGGCTATATAGAAGAGGTTAACACCAATGCCTCAATGTTCATTTGAGCAATAACATCACTTTTGAGTAATGCACAACCTGTGCTCTGTATTAAGCTTATGTCACCATCATGGTCAGGAACTCAACTTTAGGCCTCTAGCAATTATCTGAATGATCACAATTAGGCGATTCGAGGATCAATTTGTGTAATACTGTACGGTGGTGAACGCAGTCGCTTCTGGTGGCAGCAGAGGTCACTATAAATAAATAAAAACATTAACCACAAAGAATCGATTATAATTGATACGTCAATGCATCGTTAAGCAGCAGCAGAGTTCACATGAAATATAAAAAAACATTAACCACAAAGGTATGCGACTTGATAATAACAATCGATAAATTATAATCGATACGTCAATGCATCGTTGAGCACCAAATCGACTCACGCCATGGCATTTTGAGTGCCCCCAATGAACCCTCCCCCCACAACCGGGGACACTTTGACAACGTTCACTCATCACGGGAGCGCAGCGACGTGGTTTTGAGGATTGGTTACCCCCCCCCCCCCAAGTGGCTGCGTCCGCCAAGCGTCCCCTAGGTCGACTCAGCCTCAAATCGTGCGCCGTTCAATTTTTCATCAGGTGCTCGCTAACCGCACTTGCCCCAACGGGTGTGTTAAGGCTACACGTGTGTGTGTGTGTGGGATCTTCGCGTGTGCGTGTGCAGCCAGGGCGAAGGCGAGCCCCCAGGTGATCTTGGGGGCCACGCTGGGCACCCTGGTGTCGGCCGCTGCCGCGGGACTCGTCTTTTGGACGTACAGGAAAGTCGCCTTCAGCAGGAGGTGAGGGCCTCGACTCTTCGCGGCACACGCGTGTGTTCTGATCACACGCGTGTGTTCTGATCACACGCGCGTGTTCTGATCACACGCGTGTGTTCTGATCACACGCGTGTGTTCTCAGCACACGCGTGTTCTCAGCACACGCGTGTTCTCAGCACACGCGTGTTCTCAGCACACGCGTGTTCCCACCACACGTGTGTTCCCATCACACGTGTGTTCTCACCACACGCGTGTTCCCATCACACGCGTGTTCCCACCACACGCGTGTTCCCATCACACGCGTGTTCCCACCACACGCGTGTTCTCACCACACGCGTGTTCCCATCACACGCGTGTTCCCATCACACGCGTGTTCTCATCACATGCGGCCGTCACTCGTTCCTCATTCGTTCATCATCGTCGTCCTTTTACTGTCATTGAATTCGCTCTCGCCGAATCCACGCATCACAGATTCGCCAGTTTGCTTCCTCTCATCCGTTTTTATTCACCTCAACTCCACCATTGCATTCTTCATATGCACCGTTCTTAATTGTCTGTAAAGTGCCTTGGTTAAGGCGCCACGAAAAATTACGTTAAGATAAGATAAGCACCACAGGCCGAAAGGCCCACACTTTCCCAGCGGACAGCAAAAAAAACAACCCAGCACTGTTGTGTGTATGCTGAACTTCTTTCGCGCCGTACATAGTCAACTGTGCTAATCGGGAGGTGAGGACGTCATGCATGTTGCTGCTAGGCCGGGTTGGAGTAACGAGTATCCGTGTAAGGCACTACCACGAGAGTCCCAGTGGTAGTGCCTTACGCCTATTGTTATTGTGACCTAGTCGGTAGTCCGATAATTCTATCGTACTGCAGTACCTTGAGGATAAGAGAGTGAGAGATGGATGTGACATGCCATAAGAGTTCCAGGAATAGCATTTTGGTCTATTCAGTCCGACATTAAGCGCTGTATGTATAAATGTAGGCGCTCGCTAACAGCACTTGCCCCAAAAGTCTGTTAAAGCAAAAAAAAAATATTTAGATTTTGGGTGTTAAGTGTGTATATACGTGTGTATGTTGTCTGTATATATTTGTATACGGTATTTGTAAGTGGTGTGTACACATACGGTACTATACGTTTGCGTAAACGTTTATATATATTGTGTGTATACGCGTATATGTGTGGAGCAGTGGCGCAAAGGGTAGGGACAGCGTTACAAACTCGGCGACTTGATATCGGTTCCTGGCCACGGCTAACACCAGTGGTAAGTGATATCCCCGTAGGTCGACTTTGTCTCGGACGAGTGCGTGATGTGGTGTGTAAATATCAGCGCGGCGGAGGAGCGAATATGTCCGAGCACCCGTGGTGTCCGGCCACACCGCATCGCCAGTAAACATGAAACGGTTGGACCAACGTTGACCCAACGCTGGTCCAACCGTTTCCAAACACATGCCAATGTTGCCCCGACGTTGAATGTTTCATGGGTTCACTCGCTAACAGCGCTCTGGGTTATCAAGCAGAATAACCGCATTCAGTGTTTGCCTCGTCGTACGCGAGGGATGAAGTTCCGGAGATGCTAGTGAATAGCACATTTTGCTGATAATGATACTAGCCTACGATAACATTTTTTTTATTAATGACCTTAAATAAATGCATAAATGAGCAATTAAATACGCAGAAAAATTATCTCATCACTTTATCTCATCACTTTCTCACATCACACTCTCTCTCTCTCTCTCGAGATGCACTCGTGTAGAGTTCCAGATGCGATTCGCGGATTATCAAGTTCGTGAATTAGGAGGGAGCGCTGTAAAGTGAAAGCGGCATGACAGTGGCTGTCGCTGCATTCAACCTCTGCCACCCAACCACGGTGGCCTCGCGTTCCTCCTGTTCCCGTCGTTGTCCGCGATAAGTGGCCAACGTCTCCTGTGTGTGTATTTCGTTCTCAGTTACGACCTGTGGAAGAGCATCAAGGGACCCAAACCTCCGCCAAGCTCAAAAACAGCAACCACCAGCGTCTGAGTTGAGCAGTCTTGTCGTCAAAAGTTTGCGCGGACGGAAAGTTGAAAGGGTAAAAACCTACTACTATATTTTGCCACTGGTAAAGGAGGTCTCATAGTGTAAATTTTTACACCGAGCTCTCAATACTCTGATAGTGCACTGTTTTTGAGTTGTACGCCTTTTGGCGTCATCTGGTCCAACACCAATGGAGACTAGGCTCTAAGAAAAGCTGTCTCGGGTGTGGACCAATCAACTTCAAGGACAGTGCATATAATTATCAGAGTTGTTTCTTTTTGTTTGCATTTTGACTGCTTGTGTTGTGGTTATTGCAAACATGATGCCTTGTATAAAGGTGCCAGTTTTTGTACCAGTTGAAAGGGTAAAAACCTATTACTAATGGAAAGAATCCTGTTGTTGTGTGTGGTCGGAAGGAGTCGCTGGCCCGTGAGGCTGGGCGCAAGCGATGAGTCTTGAATGTAAATATCTCAGGGTTTCGGAAGGCAATTTCAGATCGTTTTTGGATCTTCCGATCGTCCACATTTTTGTTGTGTACTCATTTCAAAACGTCTTCGTGCTAACAATAGTGATGTCACCCAATTCCACGTGACATCACTTTTGGCGAAGAAAGCATGGAGGTGACGTAATGATTTCATATCAGTCCGAAAGACGTGACATTTTTTGGACTCTCCGAAATTTCATTTCTTTGGTTCGATTTTCGCATTATTCAGATTCAATCCGAAAATCGGGCACGCATCCCTACTGTGTGCAGTCACACGATCACTATGAGTTATAACACTGCAGAATATTTTATGTGGGGGGGGGGGGGGGGGGGACAAAACACGCACCTGAAATCCACCCTTGCAGATCTGACATTTGTTTTTAAATCATCGATTACAAAATTACGTAAAATGCAATTGCGCTTGAGTGCAATCGCCATTTCCGTTTACACCGATAAATCCCTGAACACGTCTGGCCAGCGTGGAAGAGTAGGCCAAGACACCGTCTGGAGGGGCTCTCCATAGCTCCCTCGAGTGCAGGCTCTTGCGCGAGCAGTGGTGTGAGCAAACAATTGCAGCGCTGCACCTTTAGCTACGTATACACCCCTCCTGAGATCCACGTTAAAATATTCTGCTCTGCAATTCTATCATCCAGAAACTACAGTCATAATTTGATCTTTTAGTGGAAGGCCTGACTGTAAGGTTTTCCCAAGAGGTGCCTATTTTCTATGGGGCATTTAGATACATGGTACATTATAGAGTTATCCCCCACAAACTCTAACTGGTCATTTGCTTTTGCAAGTCTGATAGTACATGAATAAATGGATAATTGGTCAACAGAGGATATATCGCTGTTATTCTCTCCGGATAGAAAGCACTTTTTCAGTGTATATTAAAGCAAAAGTTACAGATGCATCTCATAATCCATGAGGTGTGTGTACCCAGATTTGTATAACTTCATACGCACCGGTCACACGCTTACTGTGCAGTGCATTTCATAATCCGGAGAGCGCCGCAAAACATCGGTTACGTAAACAAAACGAACGCGTAGCAAACAACAGTATAATTAATGTGTAAAAAAACTGATTTTTTTTGTTATTTCATGACCATGTTATTGTGCTGGGTGAGACGCTACAAGAACACGGCATTCTAATCGCAGATCGTCGTAATCCCGTTCACGGTGGTGACATTTTCCGTTGCCTCTGAAAACTTTCAGACTGAGTATTTTATTTTAAAAAAATACTGCAGGAGGTCAGATTTAAAATCAAGCTCCCTTCGTCAAATTGTGAGGCTCGTAATTGTCGCTTGGGTATGCGGGGAAATTTGTTCAACTCTTTGATGTCGGGAACAAACTGGGCATACCGAGGATCCATTACTAGCGGCTAATAGTAATATATGCATTTACAGTAGTTTTCTTTTCCTTTTTAAATAACAGCAGTTAATTTCGTTTGTTTCACATACAAATAATGTGTCTCCAACCACACATAATCTGTTCGTTCCTTTATAATGACATAATTTTAGACAGTTTAATTTTTTTAGCCATGTGCGATATGAATCGATGTTAATGGCATTTCTGTCGTAAATGATGCATCTTAAATTGAGCTAATTATTTAAAAGAAAAACTACAAATTTAAGTATGCCTTGCAATGTTCTACCTACCGACAGTAATTATTGCAATTCAGATATTAAGATAACGATTAAAAAAAAAAATGTTTTAACTTCAATCTGAAAACCATCCTTTCAGAGCGTTCAGTGTTTATTTTATCTCGTTTTTTGTTTTTACATGAACGTAGTAAAATCTGAGATAAAGCCTCGAGCACTAATACAATGGTAATTACATTTACAATGGCTCCTTATCAGTTGTTGTTTTTAGAAAGCACAAGACCTACAGCAGCAGATTAGCATGCATTGCATAATAACAAACAACATTGCATTTCAACAAAAAAATAATCCACATTGGATCCTAACAGCCCAGAGAATTTCTACCCTATGTGTGTACTTGTGTTGAACATCTTTCGCACCGCACTTAGCCAACCGTGCTAATCGGAGGTGCGGGGGAAGAACAACAAACTAAACGCAAAAAATAAGTTCTAGAAAAATGAGATTTCAATCGACTGTATATTTTTAAGTGTAAAGCTCCAGTGGCTTCCTAATATCGGAAGGAATTGCGTTCCAGATGGGCGCAGAAGCGCGTCTGAAAGCGCGTGATGCAGTGACCGTATTTTGTTCGACGGTTTGGCCAAAAGGCCGCTGTGAGGATGACCGGAGTTTGAAAACAAAAATGAATGTAAAAATGCGAATATTTTCTCAAGTTCTATCAACAACTTTGTCCGCAACGTCATGGTCCAATCTTAGAACATGCAAATTTATGACAATGAAAAACATCTGGCTCCGAAATGTCCTCCAGTGTGTCTCGAACCTTGAGATGCAGCCGTCACATTTGTTGATTAGTTCACATTATATTGTAAAAAAAAACGTTATTATACAGTGATACGCAGCTATATTAAAGTGGTACTAATATACACTTTGATTCATATGTATTTCTGTAAAAATATGAACAAAAGCAGAATGTGAGGATAAAAAAGTACATCTAATAAATCCATATGGTTTAGCCGAAGTTATGATTCTTACGGGAAATTGGCAATTGTGAAATGATTCCATTTTGATTTCACTATTTCCCCAATTGCCAAACTCAGATCTCATTTTTTTGTTGTTGCAACGAAAGAGCAATTAGATTTTTTTCATTTCCTCTATGGACACGTAATGGGGTGCAAGAGGGCATCACATCCTGTATCAAGACATGTGCAACTACATTGACCTTGCTATTCAGTCACAGTACAGCCAATAAAACTTGCCGTGACGCCGGCACACGTGACTTCTAAGAGCCTTTATTCAGACACAGCACTCACGATGCCCAGGGCTGGTTCTTGAGAGCTTGAGCTCCGTCTCTTCTCGACCGTCCCCTCTCCTTGCGCTCGTTTCCTTTAATACCTAACCAGGGGCGGTTTCTTCATTAGGGCGATTGGGCGACGCACCACCAATGTCATTCAACCACAGAGTCACGCTAGCCATCACTGTGCCTCTGGATATAGTCCTAATCATCGTCATGCTACGTTCTGTGGAGTACCGCCTCTTTTTGGGCGATTTCCCTCCGGCTGAGAATCGCCCCGAGTGGTCCCATAGACTTACATTCAAAGATGTTTTTTTTCGAACGGGGGGCGCTGCAATGCATTCTCTATGGCTTCTGGGAGGGCTCGCACTAACGTGCTTACGTCATCATACGTAAGCACGTTTCATCCAACAAAATTATTTGTCGCCACCTAGTGGAATCTTTAATAAAAGAAACATGAGTGGATTGTATTAATAGTGAGTATAGAAACAAACAAGATGTATTGTAAGAGTCACTTTATTTTTCATTAATATTAAAGAAGTGAAGTTGCCTTTACATGCTTAAGCTGTTAATTGATCCTTTGCATGGGTGGACCTTATCCTTATCAATCATTCAGACATTTGCCCCCCCTGAGAGATTTTGCAGGAGCCGCCACTGTACCTAACCAAGGCCCCTCTCTGGAAGCTTCGATCACCCCACTCCCTTCGGTCAATCCTGACCCTTCCCCACCAGCGGCTCTCAAGTGTCCTACTACATTCTAGACTTGAAGCTTTCGTGACTGCAAGGAATCATATTCTTAGGTGTTTTTGGTAAAGTCACGTAGGTAAAACATCAAAATTAATAAAATAATAAAATAAAATAAAGATCACGACGTTTCGGAGACTTGTGTTGCCTCCGAAACGTCGTGATCTTTATTTTATTATTTTATTAATTTTGATGTTTTACCTACGTGACTTTACCGAAAACACCTAAGAATATGTCCTACTACAATCCACCCTTTGTACTTACCGCTTCTTTAACTTTCAAGTCTTTCCTCTAATTCCTTCCAATCTTCGCCTCCTCCTCCACCAATCGCTGTGGAGGCCTCTCTGCACCAGTGAGAGAACTTAGCCTACTTTCCGATTGCATGTCTGACCGTACAATTGCGTCAACTAATCGGTCTGTTATCTCGGTCATTACAAACCCTGTATCGTGGAGATGTAGAAGCCCTGTACGCAGGGATTATTGTTATATGCTACACAGTTTTAAAAAGATCACACTATTGTGTGAGAATATGTATGTGGTTTTGACTGTAAATCTACTGCATACGAGGCACAAAATGTGTAGGACATGAGAGTTATAGAAAGTAATATTTAATTGCAGTAACACCGATACACTGCACGGGATGAAGGCATTTGCACGAACAGGTCTATTGTTAAGTGCAACAGGGTCGCAGTGGTGATCTCGATTGGTGGAAATTCCACTGCCCCATGACAGGCACCAGTCTTGCTGTATGACAACCACTCCAAACTTCTCACAAGGTTGTCTGATTGTTGTTGTTGCCGATTACCAAATCACCCAGAACGCACCCAATGGTGTCATGCCTCAGGCTATGTAGAGTTCATCTTCTTGGTTTTTTCGGTAAAGTCACGTAGAAGGGAAGTAATAAAATAATAAAAAGAAAACATAATAAGAATTATTTTATTATGTTTTATTTGTATTATTTTATTACTTCCCTTCTACGTGAATTTACCGAAAGAACCAAGAAGATGAATCCCTGCAGTCACGAAAGCTTTAAATCGAAATTTAAGTAGAGTTCAGTTCGCGTAGTACGACTGCACTCAGATTGGAAACTTGCCTTCGTGTTTACCAGGCTTTGGCTGCCAGGTTTCCAGGGAACGCTGTTAGTAGAGTCTGTTCGATAACACTGCGTGTTTTCATAATGGGATATCACGCGATGAATGCTTTAAGGAACACACTTTATATAACGCGCTTGCGTTATATAAACTGAACGGAACTAGGTCGCGCGAGTAGGAATAAGCGGTCGGACGGCTGCCTCGGCGTAGGCGTCATTCAAGGCGGGATGCTGCTGGATGCTTCGAGATGCTACCCACGCGCCTCAGTCTTTGTTCAGCCTGCTTACACATCTCACTGTGCTAGACCCTATATAATTTACTTTTCATTATAACGCGATTATTCCACAGCGCGGAGTTCTTCGGGAACGCAACTGCCGTGTCATATGAGAACAGACTTACCGCACAGAAAATAATTATATCCGTGGAAGGCTTTGAGTTGTTACCACTTGTATGCACGGGTCTTCTCCAAGCACTCCGGGTTTTCTCCACTGGCCGGACGTCCACTGATGGAACTGGCCAAACATCCTGGTACGGGACTCTTGAGAGTGATTTTGGGTTGTGCCTCATGTTGCTCGACACGATGTCTTGCCATTTCCCTCTACGTTGCTGAGAAATTCCTCAGGAAATGAGGGCCTCTGAGAAAAAGGCTTTCCCAGGTGAGTTAGGTCACTATTGTTGACCACATTGTGGAGATGACAGGCGTAGTTGTTCCGCTCTTCCTTAAGTGCCATTCTCGACTCAATATTGTGCAACAAATGGGTCTTTGATAGCGAGTATTTCCCCAAAGTTACCGCACATACAGAGCAAGTGATTTCGCGTAAAAAAATATATTTGTGTTGTTTTCAATTGGAATACTTTAGACATTTTAGTTGTATTTTTATCATGTACATATACAGGCCTTTAACCAATCCACTGCTGAATGAAGGTCTCCTCTCCATGTCCTGCGTTTGGGAACGAGGTTGGGGGTAGATATTTGACCATATTTCACCATGCTGCTTTTCTGCACTGACCTCTGATGACTACAATGTAAGGTGTGGTTGAGTATATTTAATACATAAAAAACAATTAAGATGTTTCTTTTGTGCACTGAAATGGCCAATTTCTGTGAATGAAATTGTAGACTGTTACCGTGAAATTGTAGACTGTTATCGTCATATCGTGGCCTTTATTATCATCGTGAAAATAAATACATGTTGCGTCGCCCCTAGTTTGGATAACCATGCAACGGTAAACCGGCTGACATTACCCTCTTCACGTAGACCAAGGTTCTCCACATTTGGTGGCCAGGGCATGATGCTCAACTTTCTTGTGAGCTCTCCAAACTTGTGAGCTCTTCAACCAAGAGCTCACGGGAAAGGCGAGTGGCCTACAGTTAGCACAATACACATCTGCACAAGACTTGAATGGTAAATTCGCTCAATTTTAGCCCGCTGCAGTGATGTTCTTGCTATCAAGCAGTGTTAATGACAACGGTGATAGCGAGAGTATTCTTGAGTCGTGGCTAAATGCACGGTTTTCAGCGAGGTTCCAGATTATCATCTATTATCGGTAAGGAATTATATTTGCCGAGTGCAGTGTGGTTTCACTTGTCATTGAATTATTCACGTGGTTAACGGTGTAAGTAACTAGATCACTTGTATGTATCTATGTTCAACTTCTTTTGCACCATACATAGTCAAGTGTGGTAATCGGAGGTGCGGGGAAATATATATTTTTTGTAAGGCAATCCATTTTATATTGTAAGTTGTATCGTCCGCTAAGTTTTTTTTTTTAATATATACATATATAAATATATTATGTCTTAAGCAGTGCTTGTATAAAAAAAACATACAGTGTGTGACATTTATCAAAGAAATAAAAAAATCGAACAAACTTTGAAGTGAAAAAATGGTTTTGTTTTCCAATCATACTGATTTTATTTCAGTGCAAAACTGCTCGTAATTTTGAACCTACAACTAGATCAAAATAATGAATCCGATCTTGAAAGATAAGCATGATTTGAGTCTGGATAGTGGATAGATGAGTGACTACCGGTGGTGGCATAAGACTTAAGCAAACGATTAAGGCCCCAAATTGCTCAAGGAGCCTCCTACTCGCGAAAACAGAGGTGGACTAAATACAGTATTAAGTAAAATTCAAATCCTAATCTTAAAAAAGCTGATTTAGCATAAAGAAGTAAGTTAAACTTTCTCGTTCCTACCTTGTCAGTGCATCTCTTCTCTTCCGTTTAACTGAACATCTGTGAAAAAGAGCTTTATAGCTAATCGGATTCCTCCTGTATAAAAAAAATCTTCTGATTCTGAACTCCATCTATTTCTTGCCCACACTTCTTTCATTTCATTACATGTCTGCCTCTTCCGTGTCTCCTCATCTCACAAGAGCTGTGTCGTTTGTCTACATTTCAACTTACAGCATATCTCTCTCTCATCTCAATCTCTTCCATCGTCTCACGATGAACTTACACGTGGAATAGGGGCTACCCAAAAGTATATATTTTGCTGTTACCTAGGGCCCCCAATAGGCCATCACCACCACTGGTGGCCACCGTGCCTGACATCGGTGTTCAACGACTTCTGCGGGGACTACCTTGTCAGCAGAAGGTAGTGCGTCAAAATCAAGCGTTTCACTGCGCTATGCTCCAACGTACCCTGCCTTCACCAACCACTTGACCGACATGGTAAAATTTCGATTTAAAGCTTTCGTGACTGCAGGGATTCATCTTCTTGGTTCTTTCGGTAAAGTCACGTAGAAGGGAAGTAATAAAATAATAAAAATAAAACACAATAAAATAAAATAATTCTCACGACGTTTCGGCTACAACGCAAGCAGCCGTCTTGCGTTGTAGCCGAAACGTCGTGAGAATTATTTTATTTTATTATGTTTTATTTTTATTATTTTATTACTTCCCTTCTACGTGACTTTACCGAAAGAACCAAGAAGACGACATGGTAAAGTCAAGGTCAGATGAGTCCCGTGAGCGCCACGGCGTGCGGGAGGCCTCCTCATCCAGAGTCGATTGTAGCACCTATACGTAAAGCTGTTTTTTTTCGCGAACAAAACCATGTGTAGTAATCTATTTAAACCTTTATATAACCAGCTAAGAGCCCACTGCAACCAGGGGTGCTGTTTGTGTGCATTATTTTGCCGCTCAATGATATCTCTTTTCCACTGCACAACTGAGCCATGCTGGGCCCGTGCCGAGCCAGGCCGGCGTGGCTCAGGGGGAGCCAGGCTGTGTTTTTGTTCGTCACTGGAGAAACAAAGAGTCGTGCCGCAGACACACCACTGAATGACTGAAGTCGAACTTAGTCCAGGGGACGTGGAGATGCCAGGGCAGCACCAACAACGGCACGCCCCAAGAGCAGTCAAGGCAGGACCACATGAATCCCAGGGACTGCCGGACAGCCAAACGTGGGATATTTTGCAGACGCCTGGGGCAGCACCAACAACAACTACTGACATCCTGCTCCCCGTGGCAAAAAAAAAACCCAGTAGTGAAGGAATGGGTGTGGTGATATATCCGCTGCGATTTGCTGTTACGCGAATAACTCACTGTGTGGCTGGGAAATGGTCACCAATTTCTCTGCAGACAATCAGATGGGCAGAAATATAGAAACCACCTTGCACAATCGATGGTAGAATTCCCGCTAACATCTCACAACAGCTGGCTGAAAAAAAAGGCTATTGTGGGCTTGAATGCGAACTCCAGGTGGATGACTCCTTTCACAGTGGAAGGCCAGAAGTTGCATGTTATTATAGATGACCAGACAATGGCCAACGGACATATTAGCTGTCACGTGGTAGGTCTCGGTGTCACGTGGTGGGTCTAGGTGTCACGTGGTGGGTCTAGGTGTCACGTGGTGGGTCTAGGTGTCACGTGGTGGGTCTAGGTGTCACGTGGTGGGTCTAGGTGTCACGTGGTAGGTCTAGGTGTCACGTGGTAGGTCTAGGTGTCACGTGGTAGGTCTAGGTGTCACGTGGTGGGTCTAGGTGTCACGTGGTGGGTCTAGGTGTCACGTGGTAGGTCTAGGTGTCACGTGGTGGGTCTAGGTGTCACGTGGTGGGTCTAGGTGTCACGTGGTAGGTCTAGGTGTCACGTGGTAGGTCTAGGTGTCACGTGGTAGGTCTAGGTGTCACGTGGTGGGTCTAGGTGTCACGTGGTGGGTCTAGGTGTCACGTGGTGGGTCTAGGTGTCACGTGGTGGGTCTAGGTGTCACGTGGTAGGTCTAGGTGTCACGTGGTGGGTCTAGGTGTCACGTGGTGGGTCTAGGTGTCACGTGGTGGGTCTAGGTGTCACGTGGTAGGTCTAGGTGTCACGTGGTGGGTCTAGGTGTCACGTGGTGGGTCTAGGTGTCACGTGGTAGGTCTAGGTGTCACGTGGTAGGTCTAGGTGTCACGTGGTGGGTCTAGGTGTCACGTGGTGGGTCTAGGTGTCACGTGGTGGGTCTAGGTGTCACGTGGTGGGTCTAGGTGTCACGTGGTGGGTCTAGGTGTCACGTGGTAGGTCTAGGTGTCACGTGGTAGGTCTAGGTGTCACGTGGTGGGTCTAGGTGTCACGTGGTGGGTCTAGGTGTCACGTGGTAGGTCTAGGTGTCACGTGGTAGGTCTAGGTGTCACGTGGTAGGTCTAGGTGTCACGTGGTGGGTCTAGGTGTCACGTGGTGGGTCTAGGTGTCACGTGGTGGGTCTAGGTGTCACGTGGTGGGTCTAGGTGTCACGTGGTAGGTCTAGGTGTCACGTGGTGGGTCTAGGTGTCACGTGGTGGGTCTAGGTGTCACGTGGTGGGTCTAGGTGTCACGTGGTAGGTCTAGGTGTCACGTGGTGGGTCTAGGTGTCACGTGGTGGGTCTAGGTGTCACGTGGTAGGTCTAGGTGTCACGTGGTAGGTCTAGGTGTCACGTGGTGGGTCTAGGTGTCACGTGGTGGGTCTAGGTGTCACGTGGTGGGTCTAGGTGTCACGTGGTGGGTCTAGGTGTCACGTGGTGGGTCTAGGTGTCACGTGGTAGGTCTAGGTGTCACGTGGTAGGTCTAGGTGTCACGTGGTGGGTCTAGGTGTCACGTGGTGGGTCTAGGTGTCACGTGGTAAGTCTAGGTGTCACGTGGTAAGTCTAGGTGTCACGTGGTGGGTCTAGGTGTCACGTGGTAAGTCTAGGTGTCACGTGGTGGGTCTAGGTGTCACGTGGTGGGTCTAGGTGTCACGTGGTAAGTCTAGGTGTCACGTGGTGGGTCTAGGTGTCACGTGGTGGGTCTAGGTGTCACGTGGTAAGTCTAGGTGTCACGTGGTGGGTCTAGGTGTCACGTGGTAGGTCTAGGTGTCACGTGGTAAGTCTAGGTGTCACGTGGTGGGTATAGGTGTCACGTGGTAGGTCTAGGTGTCACGTGGTAGGTCTAGGTGTCACGTGGTGGGTCTAGGTGTCACGTGGTGGGTCTAGGTGTCACGTGGTAAGTCTAGGTGTCACGTGGTGGGTCTAGGTGTCACGTGGTAAGTCTAGGTGTCACGTGGTGGGTCTAGGTGTCACGTGGTAGGTCTAGGTGTCACGTGGTAGGTCTAGGTGTCACGTGGTGGGTCTAGGTGTCACGTGGTGGGTCTAGGTGTCACGTGGTGGGTCTAGGTGTCACGTGGTAGGTCTAGGTGTCACGTGGTAAGTCTAGGTGTCACGTGGTGGGTCTAGGTGTCACGTGGTAGGTCTAGGTGTCACGTGGTAGGTCTAGGTGTCACGTGGTGGGTCTAGGTGTCACGTGGTGGGTCTAGGTGTCACGTGGTAAGTCTAGGTGTCACGTGGTGGGTCTAGGTGTCACGTGGTAAGTCTAGGTGTCACGTGGTGGGTCTAGGTGTCACGTGGTAGGTCTAGGTGTCACGTGGTAGGTCTAGGTGTCACGTGGTGGGTCTAGGTGTCACGTGGTGGGTCTAGGTGTCACGTGGTAGGTCTAGGTGTCACGTGGTGGGTCTAGGTGTCACGTGGTAGGTCTAGGTGTCACGTGGTAGGTCTAGGTGTCACGTGGTGGGTCTAGGTGTCACGTGGTAAGTCTAGGTGTCACGTGGTGGGTCTAGGTGTCACGTGGTAGGTCTAGGTGTCACGTGGTGGGTCTAGGTGTCACGTGGTAGGTCTAGGTGTCACGTGGTGGGTCTAGGTGTCACGTGGTGGGTCTAGGTGTCACGTGGTGGGTCTAGGTGTCACGTGGTGGGTCTAGGTGTCACGTGGTGGGTCTAGGTGTCACGTGGTGGGTCTAGGTGTCACGTGGTGGGTCTAGGTGTCACGTGGTAGGTCTAGGCGTCATGGTTTCTGTTCTGCCACCACATAGTGCAGCAGATATTTTTATTTTGAGCTGGTGTTGGAACAGAGTGTTGGTGATTATAAACAGCGTGGGATGCACAGAAATCCAGCGGCCTCTGTCTGATGTTGCTGAGCTTATCTGGCCTTCAAATCACGAGCAGAGATACAAACACGAAGATCCCTCATGTAGCATACATAGTGGATGTGTGTGAGGATGTAATGGCACGTCAAGGGGGTGTGATCACTCTGGTGTGAGTGCGTCCACCTACAAGAAGCCCAGGACGAGCTCTGATATCACCCGCCACTGATGCTAGCTATAGTTTGGACTGCAACTCAGGTTGACAAGTTCACAGGTTCACAATGCAGTGTGCTAACCACTACAGTTACACACACAGGTAAACACTCCCACACATGGAGATACGCACAAATACTGACCAATACAAAGACAATTATCCCCCATGTAGCCTCAACAGACTGCTGGGGCAAGTGTCGT